CCACGGAGCCCGTCCTATCACCCGGGGCACATGCAGGCTTCTGCCCGAGAAGCTGGATAAGCACATGCTGCGTAGGGGAGAACGCACCGCATCGGGAGGGAATACCTGCGTTTGCGAAGAGCCGGATCCGTGTTTGGGCCGTGTGCCAGCTGACTGGGTTACAGAGCCGCCAGGAGACGAGGACGTTATGGGAACAGGCTGTGACCAAGCTGAGCTGTGGTGCTTGGGCGGCAGGCTGGGCAGCCCACGAGGGGCTGCTTTGGGTTTTAGAATATTAAATTTTACGCTGAATTGCATTTAATGTCTTTGGCAATGCTGCTGTTATACGTTTATAGCAACAGATAAGTCTACGCGGGATTTTGGCCAAAGAGGCGAAATGATTTTATTCTAGATTGCGGTGATATATAATTTCTGTCACGTCTTTCTCTCACAAGTGAAGTCCAGGCATGCTTCTCTTCTTGTGTTTGCGTTTAACTAATAGATTAATCTGCCACGTGCTAAGAGTTTGAACTTTCAGGGCTCTGTCTTATGGAAAAGTCTTGCCTGAATGTGTTGTTTACAGTATTTTCAGTCTACTACCATGGGTAATTTTCTCTAGAGATAAGTGTTTTAAGTTTTTCTGTGGACTAGCTGACAAAGTCTATAAAAAGAACATTGTTTTCACTTGAGCAAAGGACATGAGGTGACCAAAGATATGTTAATCTCCTCTGCTTCTTTTTTAAATGAAGCCATGTTACAGAGGAGAAATTCCTGAAATAATTTCTCTTGACCAGCCTTTTTAAGGAAGGTGCATTAAAGCCTCTAAATAGACTTTTTCATAACCTGGACATACAAGTTGTAAATGTTACTGTAGTTTTTTCATGTGTCTGTCTTTACTGGCTGTGTCCCTTTTAAATGAGGTAATTGAAGAAACCCGTATCTTTCCTTTTTTCAGGTTGTAGAGGAGCACAAGTTGAAGAAATATGGAGCTTGGAACCAGAGAACTTTGAAAAATTGAAGTAAGGCAGTTCTGTAATCTGCATGCGTTTTATTCACATTTGTATGAAGTCGCTGAAAGAATGTGTACTAAACTCTGTTGGTTTTTTTTGGTGGGTTTTGTTTGTTTGTTTTGGTGTTTGTTTTTTCTTCAGTTTCCACAGAAGTTCATGAGGATTTTTATTTAACTAAATGCCTGGCAATTAAATTACTTTATATTAATTCCTTGGTACTTTATCTATCTGTTCTGGTTTTGGAAAGAGATGCTAATAGCAGCTAGAATGTGAAAATAGATTTCTAATGATTTTGTCATTGGCTTGCATTATATCCTTTGACAAACTTCTGTTCCTTGCTTTATCTACCTTCTTCCTCACGTAACACGATATTGCATCTGTTGCCTTAAATAAATTAATTTACTGTACTTATGTACTTTTGTAACTCGTTTTTCCTGCAGAACCACTTCCATATGTATGTGAAGGCAAATACTCCTGTTATAACTGATGGTGATGGTATATGGAACAGTTCTGCCCTCATTGAGCAATATTAATTCTTCTACCATTTTGTCTGTGATGCGTTGTTATCCATGTTTGCACACAAGATTTTAAGACGAAAATGCCATCTAACCCAGACCATACTCTATTCCTGTGCAGATATCCTATGCTTGCATTAGTAATCTTTCAGAAGATGTAGTTTTAGAATTTTTGACTGACTGAATATATTTGACAAGTGACAGCCGAATGGCAAAAATGTTACTTGAGAAGTGATTTATTTGCTGCCTGCACTATGTACTTCATCAGAACATTACCTGTTTTGTTCATAAAGTAACAGCTTTGTTTGCTTGTACTGTCAGATGTATATCTTTCTAGTCTTGAGTGATGGCCAGCTTCCTTCCTGCGCATACGTGCAATATTTTCACTTAAATGCTAAGAGTTAAAGGATATAATAATACATAGCATTTTTTTTAATTCCCACAGTGGACCCACTGTTTAAAAAGACATCTCAGACTTCTGGACAGAGCTTAGGAAAAGTTTCTCATACCATACAGTAGTATGTTTACCTTTTGTAGATAAACCTTTTGTGGCGGTGACCTTAAATTCAGTTTGACACGATGAATAAGTTTTTGCTTAATTGTAGCTGTAGATCTTGTAATAATTGTTTCCTTTGCTAATAAATTTTTGGTTTATGGGAATACTAAATAGAGTGTAACATGCAGTAAAAGCTGTTTACTATGCAAGACGTGCAAGTCTGAACGAAGAACAAGACATGATTTCAGTAGAAGGGAAAACTAGATTTCTCTTACTTCTTAGACAGATAACTCAAAGCATGAAGTTTCACAAGAGCTCCTATTCTCTTTAAATATTTCATTTATGACTAAGAGGATTACCAAAACTTTAGTTTTTAGATTGACAAATGTTTTGATAGCTACTTATCACTAACAAATTCAAAAGTGTTGTGTAACTGTAATAGTTACAGTAACCCAGAAAACTGACTTACGAAAATTACTGACTAAATGCTATTTCAGATTGGGGTTGTTTAGCATGTGCCGAAAGAAGCCTGAAGTATGTTCTGCCTAATTAAAAGACCACATCTGAAAACTTCAGTGCAAGTTCCCTATGTTTAGAAAGAAATAATTAAGAAAATTACTGTAGCAGCATACAATTAAATTATAGTAGAGGTTTCTGGGTTTGGTATTTTTCATCAGTGCAGGTAATTTATTTTTTTTCTTCCTATCAATTTTATCTTTTAGGCCGGTACATGGGCTGATTTTCCTCTTCAAGTGGCAGCCTGGAGAGGAACCAGCAGGTTCTGTTGTTCAGGATTCCAGACTGGATACAATATTTTTTGCTAAACAGGTACGGCAAGTTCAGTATTATTTTTTTTTTAGATATGTCATGAAACATAGCTTTTAATACTGGAACATAAATTAGCTTTTTGTTAATATGTACCCAAAAATTAACACTTTATAAGGTGAAATAACTTTAACAAATTCTGTGAGACTAGGAACTATGTATTAAAAGATGATTAACAAAGCAAATCAGATTGATCTGGCAAGTCAGACAAAAATATCAGGTATGGAAGAGTAAAGCTCTTATTTATTTGTCAGCCACTTCCTATAAGAGTAAGTAACTCTTCTGTGCAATAATTAATTTGTAAATCTTCTCTGCAGAATGAGCAAATTATTTTTTTGAAACCACTTTCAACAAAGTCTAGGAAGAAATGCTTGTTTTGGTCCAGTTCTTATTTCTTGTGTTTTTCAAATGCTCTGCAGCCAAGGCAGCATAACTCTACGGTAATACTTTCCTTTAAAAGTTTGCAGACCATTTTGGCATGGAAGTTTTAAGTATTTAAATCAGTAAGGTGAATTTAAATTAGAAATGACAGGAAAATTGGTTTTGCTAACATAATTCATTGTGTTTTATTAAATACTGAGTAGTACTGAAATTCTGTGTTAGCTTTGACAGGCTGCTGGTGTAGTGTTTGCAAGCAAGAAAAGCAAGAGAAAGTAACTAGAATGAAAGTAGAAGTACTTAATAAATGTTTTTAGTTCTTTTTAAAGACCTGCTTCTCAAGCCGTGGTAAATGTAACAGTCCAAACAAGAAGTGTAACCCTACCTGTGTTAATTACAAAGCATTCATATCAAAGGGCAAATTATTAGGCTTTCTATGAAGACTGACACATAGACTGGTTGTTGCTTTGGGATGTGGTTTTTTGTTTGTTTGTTTTATAGTGGGTTTTTTGGTTGTGTTTTTTCCCCATAAATGCAGAAGTGTTTTATACATAAGTTTCAGGATGTAAAGAAGTCTCCACATGCTTCTAGCTAAAAGTATAGAAATATGGAAAACAACAGAAACATTAGGTGCATCTATAACTCTCCTGGCTACTCTGTACATGTCCTTCTGTTGTGCAGATAGCCATCTTTAATTTGTTTCTTTTGTAATCACCTTACTGTTTCATGCTATTGTGGATGACTTTATTCCGTGGTCTTTTTTAATACGATTTTCTTCATTCTTAGCCGGCTGCAGCTCTTGAGTCCTGCCAAGCAGTGTCCACCATTCTTATGATACAATGATCAGCAGTAGTTTGCCAAACATCTTCATAGGTTGATGAGTCTGATAGACATTGATTTATGTTGTGATTTCTAGCTAATCAAACATACTGTTAATGATCAGTAGGCTGTGGCTACAGAATAGCCTTGATGCAAAGAACCTCAGGGAAAATCCTTAATAAAGCTCTGAGGGGGTAGTTACATGGCAGGAGGAAATTACTGTGATATGAATCTGGAGAGGTTTTTTTAATATGAGGGCACATTTATCCTCATTCAAGGGACATCATCTGTCTTGTTTCCTGTGAGTAGATGAAGTTCTCCCAGAATTGCTTTTCTTGTGGATGCTGAAAAGTTTCAAAGCATTTGTCTGCTTGCTCCACTTTTCTTTTTTTTTTTTTTTTTTTTTTTATCTCTCCACTTCCCTTTTTGAGAAATGACACTGTTTAAAAACAAGTAGCTAAGAGGAGCTTTGAGCTTCAAGTTGGGATTGCAGAACGTACATCAGAAGACTTGGATAATGTTAGACTTGCTAACGATGAAGTCTTCTTTCTTTGTAGCTTTCTTTGAAGCATTCATATTTTACTGTTTTCTTAAGCTTGAAACCTCTTTGTGGAGGTGTAGGAAGTTTATAATCTTTCCCTTCTTTCATCTGCAGCCTTTAAGGAGGGCGTGGTGGAATGACTCCTAAGAATTCCTTAATTTCAGCATGGAAAGTGATTTCTAGAAGCGTTCACTATTTTAAAATAGTAGTACCTAGTTATGCCACTTGATGGCCTGGAATACACATTTCATAGAACGGTTAGAGTTGGAAGGGACCTTAAAGATCATCTAGTTCCAACCACCCTGTCATGGGCAGGGACACCTTCCACTAGACCAGGTTGCTCAAAGCCACACCCAGCCTGGCCTTGAACACCTTGAGGGATGGAGCATCCACAACTTCCTTGGTTTCATAAGTAACTTGCAAAGAGTTTAAAATTAGAGTATCTTTTTCATGTTTTAGTATTGTCTGTTAGTCAAGTGCAGTGGCTTAGCAAAATCAAAACATTTCTTATAGACATACATATGCTTGTGTTTCATGTCAGTCCAGTTTTGCCTGGACTGAGGTGTAACTGAACAACTAGTGAAATAGTCACAAAGAAATAAAAATTAAAAGTAAACAGATAAATGAAACGGGTTTTGATATTTTGGTGGGATTTGTAATACCAGTTTAGCTCTGGTGACTTTCACATTGGAGGAAGTTAGCCATAGTTAGAGATCCAACTGGACAAGCTATGTTTTGAGGACTGATAGTGTTTTTTCGAGCAAATAGCTGATCTGATGATTTGCTGCTGATGAGAGCAGGATGTCTTGCTCCTTCCAACCTGTCTCTTTTTGACTTCATGGTTCTGTTTCTTTCTTGCAATGGCTCAGCTGCTCATTGAACTTCCCCAAGCCAGTGCAGCTCATCAGCCAGCAGTTTTCTGTAGATTCTCTGTGTGTATTTTCTGGGCTGCTGTCCTGCAACATTATGAGATGTATTTGTTCAGTGAGTCTGTACAGGCCAAAGCTGGTAAGAGGTAAGAGAGAGAACAGGACTTTCTTTATACTAGTACTGAAGTTGTTGGATTTCTTGAAATAGCAGTCTGTGAATCCTCCTGAGTCACCCAGGAGCACGAGGGTGCCTGTCTTAAGCATTAATATTAAAAATTTCTATTGTAAAATAGCAACTCCTCCCAGCTATCATGCAACTGGTCTCACATGCCTTTTTTATTTTCTCTGTGCATGTTTTAAGTCCAATTTTATGGTGGCTTTGAGGATGGAGTTTTATTATCTTGCAAGAATCTTCTTCAGATGTCAGGATTTTTTTTTTTTTCTTAATTACAAAAGTGATGAGTAAAATAACCATTTGTAGGGTGGAACCCCAGGAAAAATAGATTTGTTTTCTGGATTAGCAAAATTTTTATGACCTTTAGGATTATCGGTCTGTTGATCTGTGTCTTCAAAACTGACGTGACACTGGAGCCCTAAAAATCTCAGGAAGTCTTGGGCTCTTTACTTTCCCGTACATTTTCTTCTTTGAAATGTTACCCTCCAAAGAGATCGGCTACAATCCGTTTTACCACGGAGTAGTGGTCTTGCTCATGTGGGATTCAGTAACTGTTAGTAAGTAACAACAATTTAGTATGGGAAATAAATAATGCTGTTACAGCGTGGGTGTGTTTCTGTTCAATGTAATTAAATGTTCCATCTTAAACATTGTTTCATTAGGGGGAAAGGGCGTAACTTCAGTTAGCTGTAAAAGGCTACAGCTGTCAAACTGTCTAGCAAAACATGTTTAATATTGCATTAGAAAACACAATTTTGATAAGTAGCTAGTGCATGCTCACATTTTACTCATATCCACTTTCATAGCAATGTTGTAGTTGAATTCCAAATGACAGCTAGCTCTTGTTCAAACTTAAATCACGAGTATGTTGGGGGGGTTGAATTTTAAAGTCTGTCTAATATGCATGCATATTAAAGGATTTTTTTTTTTTGATGGTCACTTTTATGTGCACTCATGTTAAATATGGCCTCCCTGTTATGCCTAGGTATGATTTGGTCCTCTATTTGAGGCCACAGAACTCTGGATGATCTTACATACCCTTTGAGCTAGGATACCTAGGCACAATGAGGTGAGTTAAGGATACAATTTCAGCCTTAACTCTGAGTTTCCTGATTTCTGTGTTGCTTAAGTAGGCCCTTGTTGTTATTTTTACACACAGTGGCTATGCGATTGTACCATTCAAGGTATTCAGCTGTCTTCAGCACTGTTTTGAATAGCTGTATTCTGTGCTGATCACCACAGAAGTACAAGTGTCTTGACAAAAGAGAGTCCTATTGTTGCAGACTTACGTACTAATTTTTTTTAGTTTAATTCAATCTTCAGGTTTTATTACTGAAGTATTGGTATCATGCCTTTGTTTTGTGCCTTGTATTTATTTTATGCTGCATTGGGATGATAGAACATTACAATTGTGATAATACATTACGAATTAAATCTATATACCTTCAGAAAGAGGGTCTTCTAAGTGATACTGTTAATAACAAAACTTTGGTCTTTATTTATCTTTGTGCCACTAATGGAAGCATATTATATGTATTTTTTTAACATTTCCAATACTTCAGTTGATTTCAAAGTCAAACTTTTTGACATTTTCAGGTTTGGTGGCATTAAAGAGGGACCACATATCTGTGTTAAAACTAAATTTGGGTTAACAGATAACTTAAAAGAAGTAAAATGAACTTGCAACACACCTCATCAAAGTCCAAGTTTTTCAGAAATTTGATATAACTATAGGAAGATTATATCTTTATTCCAAAGGAATAAAAATAAATAAATGAAATTAGATAAGGTATTTAAACAAGAATAAGATTTGGCACTTTGTCCTAATGCTGAATTTTTCACACTGACCTTTGTAAAGCCAACTGTTTTTTAACGTTGGGATGCTTAGTAAGTGAACCCCGGTGATTTGCTGGTTATACTACCAATTGCAGCACAGAGTTGTCCACAGCTTTTTGAAAAACAAAATAGGTAATCCAATCAGATAGAGGGTGCAAGTCAGGAATTTAAAGTGGTTCAGCCTTAAGTTGATCCAGAAACTCAGATTGGATCCTTAGGGAAAGTCGCATGCCTATGAAGTTATGCATCTTAATTGAAGTGTGCCAGAGTAGCCTATTCAAGCAGTTCGTTTGTTTTAAACTAAGCTTCACTTGGTGATCTGGCAATCTTCTCAGTTTTTCTGAGTTCATGTCACTAATGTGCATATATATATCTGTACATATATTATCATTTTCTTTCAAATATTATTAAATACACCTTGTAGCTTTGCTGGCAAAATCTTTGAAATACGGGTATCCGCTTTAAGTTGGAGTCCTGAATATTGATCAATCAAAATATCTCACCAGGACTTCCTGGCCAGAAATGTATGAGCAAACATTGGGTCTTCTGGACAAATACAGAAAATCCTCCTAAGTTTCCTCAAGTCAAAATAAAAATATGGGACAACCTGCATATATTATCATGCTATCCAAATGCAGAAAATGTTTTCTGCCAATGCTGAGACACCTTAAGTAAGAGATACGTTGGAAATTAGCGTAGGTGGGTATCCTGACCAATTTGTCTTTCAGAGGATTTGCTAGCTTGTGTGTATGGCAGCACTGGACTGGCTGTGTGCATTGATAGGATGCTGTGCCCATGTGACAAATAAACCTTGCACTCATCTACATTTGGTACTGCAGTCACCACCTCCTCCTCACTCTGTACTCTTCACCCTGCCCATGGACTATTGCTACCTAGGTACCTCCTGCTTCTATTTTGGTAGTTCTCTTATCATCTAGATCCAGGAACACACTGTCTTTTTATGTGTATCACCTGCACTTGCTTCTTTACCTCTGCTACAGGACTATTCTTGCTGCCTTTTCCCTACCTCCTGCCTCTCGCTTTCTAAAGAGTATTTGTAGTTCTATAATGTATTTCCATTTCAACAGCTAGGGATCACTGGTCTAAGATCTCTGTCTGTTGCATATTGTTTCTAGCAGTAAGACAAGATTGTTTAGCTTGGTCCTTATAAACTTAAACAGACTTCTCTCATTCTGTAGTTGGAATACAAAAATATATTTGCGCTAAAAGGCATCTCACTTGATGAGACCACAAGTTCCCTGCGGAGTTTAATTTTTGCTGCTGTTTAAAGCTCTGTATCCAGCTGGTCCAACACAGTTTCTCTGTTGATCTTGCCTCTAGGCACAAAATCCTAGGCATAGTTTCCCTTCCCTTTTTTGAAGCCATTGTTGAGTTAGCGGTCTGCCAGAGCAACTGATTGTTCCATCTGGATTTTTCAGTAAAAATAGTTACCACTTAGTGCTGTGCCTCCCTATAATGTCCCGCATTAGTTATTTAACAAGTACAGTTTGCTGGAGTGACCTTCCCTTCATTGTAATAGCACTGTTCTAATAGTTCTTCACCACAGGTGTCTCTACTGTCTCTCTCCTTTCTCTGTCAGCTTAATTAAAATGTTTGTGACTACTGCTTCAGGTTAACCCACTCTAATCCACTTAGGATCTTCCTGCTTTCATTCTAGTACTACTTTTTACAACTTTGTCTGATACCATTTTCTAGTCATATCTCGGAGAATCTTTAGTTCTTGGTTCTTTTTTTCTATGTTACAGCATTAATTCTCTCAAATTATGTCATTCTAGTAGTCTGTGGTTTTTAATTTTTCTGCTGTTCATTATTTCACTGCCCTTGATGGATTTTCCTTCTATGTCCTTTATTTTGTAATTGTGTGAACTCTTGCCTTTAGCTCGTGTACCAGTTTGTTTGAGTTTCAGTTGCTGCAATCTATTGTGTGTAGTAGCCTCCCTTGATTACCATTTAAGTCAGCTAGTTCGTATTTTTCTTAATTTAAGAAGGGCTTTATTATTTCTTTACAGATGTAATCTGAACTGAGAACAACCTGAAGTATAGAAAATGAATATATAATGTGGCTTATAGTATTAACATAGTAGGTTTTCCTTTGTTAGGGACTAGTTTTGATTGTAAAACAGGCTGGTTGTTTTTTCTTTTTTTTTTTTTTTTTTTAAGTTCACCTTTCTTGTTGGAAGTGGTTTCGCATTCACAGCCCTGAATTAATTTTCATTTTTTTAATACAAAATCAACATCCTCTCCTCTGTCCCAGTCCTAAGGTACAAGTAGCATTTTCAATTGCAAAATAGTCTCATAGACTGAAGATGCATTATTTTTCCTAGCCTATAGCTTACTGAGAAAAAACTGCTAATAGGAAGTCTTTCTTGTATTATGGCCTTATACCATTTGATTAGTATGCTTTTAATTAAATCTCAGATTGTATTTAATAATCCTTGTAGTCTCTCTCTTTCTTTAAAAACTGTATTTTAGTTTGGGTATTACTAAGCAATATTAACAACATAGCTGTAATATGAAGAGGTATGTTTATATTTTCTAAAAATGGAATATTTATTGCTTAAGCCTAAAGAACAGTGTCACGCAGACTAGTAACTTAACTGTTAGGTTGAAAAGGATAGGTATATTGTAAATTAAGAAACAAGTGAAGAATCTAAAATTTCATATGGCTTATTCAGCAAACCATCTTTTAAAAAATCTTTACGTCTTGGAACACCTCTAAATGTTATTAGTTTATCTGTAGGATATTTGAAATTTTCTGTCCAGTGTAACCTGTTTATAAAAATTCTAGGTTCTATAATGTGCTTTGCCCCAAATTAATATTTCGTTGAGCTCCTACTCCTGATAGGAATTCTGAATGTTTGAAGGACATGCTCTTTGGGAGAGTGGACTTTTTTTTTTTTTAAAGACCATAGATACAATAACGTAATTTGGGCACCTTGCTTTGAGTAGTACTTTATTTGTTTTTCCACTGAGATCAGAGGGTTCCTATATTTCTTCTATGTCCTTCATTCATTACTTTAGGGAGGCGGTGAGATAGTAGAATGACAGAGATTCTATGTAGAGGTGTGAAATAGCAGTTTTTATCAATGAATTGTGTATGACAGCTATCCAGCATTCATTTTATTAGTCTCCTACAGCAAAGGCTTTTCTGTGGCTACTCAGACTAGATTTGCTGCCTGTTTTAGAGTAAAGGTCTAATGTGAATCAGTACAGAAAATGTGTGTTTGTAATGAAAACTGTTGCCCAGCTTAAATTAAATTTTTATCACCAGTACTGAACAAATTCTCAACACTTTTTTTTTCTAGGTAATTAATAATGCTTGTGCTACTCAAGCCATAGTAAGTGTACTATTAAATTGTGCTCATCAAGATATCCATCTAGGAGAGACTTTGTCAGAATTTAAAGAATTTTCACAAAGTTTTGATGCCGCGGTAAGTGCCTACTGTTTTCTGTATTTTAAGTATTATAGGGTTATATCTATGTTGGCTTATGATTTGATTTTGTTACTTACTTTCAGATGAAAGGTTTGGCATTAAGCAACTCAGAAGTGATTCGGCAAGTTCACAACAGTTTTGCCAGGTAATGCGTGTTTTAAGTCTTGCCGAAATTTGAGCAAATTCTTTTTCATCTCAAATTTTTTTTCAATCATTTTCTTTGCAGACAACAGATGTTTGAATTTGATGCGAAGTCTTCAGCAAAAGAAGAAGATGCATTTCACTTTGTAAGCTATGTTCCTGTTAATGGACGGCTATATGAACTAGATGGCTTAAGGGAAGGACCAATTGATTTAGGTAATATTTTATATTTTTTCTGAACATCCTTCATTTTAACAATAGCTTATTGCAAAAAATTGGTTGTGTGTTATAGGATCAAACCAAATTATTTATTAAAATAAAGGATATCTTTAAAGTTTTCTTAACTCACTATTCAGGCTTGTACTTCTTTGTGGTCATATATTGTTTTATTTTTATTGGTCTGAAAATGCAGTTTTCTTCCTGCTTCCTCCACATTTCTGATTATCCCTCCTTTCATTCAGTAATCAAATGAACAGGCCTTGCAATCCAGTGGGCTTCTAATACCTTGTTTTGTTGCAAGAGGGAAGTTTACATAACTCACTTCTCCTGGGTTTGCTCTCCTTATGGAAGGAAATATGATGTTGTTCTCAGCTGTCTCTAACAAAACCTGGTAGACCTATGTATCTTTATGGCTTTCCTTACCAATAGCGTGCAATTCCTTTTGCTAATATTCTTCCCCACATCTTCCTTTTTGTGGTGTTATCACCCAAGACAATTCCTATGTCATGTTTTCAAAGCTATTTATTTTCCAAGTCTATTACAATCTATTAATTTATTTTATCATTTGTTTCTTCTGTGGGAGCATGTATACAGCTGCCTCCATACACTTTCTACATTATGTAGCTGGTGTTTACACGCTGCCCTCTTTCTTCTTACGTAGCAGATATTTTCTCAATGATTTAAGAAAGAATAGCTACTTTTAGCATAATTTTGTTCTCTGCAAGACTTGTTCCTGTTTTGTGTCTTGTAATCTTTCTTAACTTGCAGTATGCGTGCCATCTTGTATGTTGAAAAGCTCTACAGTGCCTGTCAGGTCTGCACTTTCTTTTGAGTCTGATATCCGTCTCAGTATGTTCCATTTCCAGAGTGTTTTCCTGATTTTCTTGATAGTTATATTTATTTTTAAGCTGAGTAATAGCTTGCTACTAGATCTCATTTTTAGTCTGGCTAGAGAGACTATACAGTCTGCAGACCTACCACTGACATAGCTTGATTTTAAGATAAAAGAGATAATAGCTTAAGGTGATTTTGTAACTTGATAATGCTTCTTTAACAATTTCAACAACTTAAAGCAAATGAAGAGACTCATGATTTTGTGACCATAAAAGTTATCTATCATATATCCTTTTATATTTTTTTCTGTGTCTGACTTCTTAACATTGTATTGCATCTACATAGTATTAACTCTTTATTTTGTCTAAACGGAACAGCTGTAGCTACCGATACTTTTTTCTTTTGCTGTCTACCTTTATGTTGTCATAACAATTAATTTATTTTGTGTCATAAAAATCTTACATAACATATGTTCTCCCTGCCCTTCTCTCCTCAGGTTGTTTCTTGTTGTCAACAAAATAAGCTAGATTCTTACGCCCTTAAAACTTACGTTTGCTCCATTGCTTTGGTCAGTACATTATCTAAACATTGTTATTAAAAAAATGTGTCTTTCACCTCCTAAAAAAATCACCTGAGTAATTTGAGATTGCAGCTGCCAAGGAAAAACTTGTTACATGCTCTGAAGTTGCTGCATAAGCCTGAATTGTACAAGTCTTGAATTTGCAGTATATCTCTCAAAGATGATTAATTTTTTTTCTTTGTGTTTTTTCTAGGTGCATGCAATCAAGATGACTGGATAAGTGCTGTACGACCTGTCATAGAGAAACGTATTCAAAAGTAAATGGTCATGATGCTTTTAAAATATAGCCCTTTATATATGTTTAAAAATTCCTTATTCTTAATTTCCTTCAATTAAAGGCTTTCAACTGAATTTCTAAGGAATGACGCTTATGCATAATTTTTATATGCATATCACTGTGTGACTTCAGAACCTATTGCCCAACATGACCCAAATGTGATGATAGATAAATCTCAAATACGCTGTGTTCCTGTATGATTAATCAAAGTAGGTATCTGTAGTGAAGAGAGATCCTACTAGTACTCTGAAAAAGGCAGAGCAAGATTATTAACTCTTAGACAGCTGTGGGTCTTTGCGAGTGAAAAAAGAGTGCCATTACCATGGATAAAGTTTGAGTGTGCTTATAATTAAAAATACCAGAAAATAACTATATCCATATGGCTCGTATTTACAGAGAACAAGTTTTCCTTAGGCATGTGGCTTATTTTAGAAATTTAAGCTAGAAAAAGGTACTGTAGAAGTTTTCCTACTTCTTAGCTCTGACCCGAAACCGCAGCCCCAAACGTATTAGAAATAAAGTTGATTTTATGCCATTTTTAGGAAATAATTCTCAAAGTCTTTTACTTGAAGACTCTTTTTGATAAGCAAAATATTCCTACCAAATCACATTTGGAGAATTTAAACTCTGAAAGGCCTGCTGGCCTAATTGTGAATGTACTTTTCACATTGTATGAAGAAATCTCCAACGTTTTCTAACAAGTAACAGTAACAAGAAAGGGAAAACTACTGTGTGCAGCAGTCTTGTGCAAGCTTTGTTGTCAACAATATCATGTTTTGCTTTCTTTTTTGGACAGTTTCAATATTTATTTTTTGTGACCACAGACAGGAATAGTAATATCTTGGTAGAGGAGGTTATTGGGAGTTGTATCTTGGATAGTGCTCATCTGAGGCCTGATTTTATTTCGTGGCAAGATTGGATTTGTAGCACAACTTAATTTAATAGATCCATTTGGATTATTTTTTTCCACAAAATGCATTCCCTTATAGTGAAATCCTGGAGGAGGTTTTTGAGTTGTCATGTTAATGATTAATTTTGAAAGTGGTTGGTTTGTTTTGTGTTTTTTTTTGTTCTTCATTTAGATACAGTGAAGGTGAAATAAGGTTTAACTTGATGGCTATTGTATCTGACAGAAAGATGATATATGAGCAGAGAATTGCAGAATTACAGCAGCAACTTGCAGAGGTAGGCCGTGGTATTTAAGTTACAAGTAGTTCTCTGATAATAGTTCTGTGTCTTGCTTTATTATTCACCTCCTTCTCGCCTTGCCTCAAATAGGGAATTGCTGAAAAAAGCAGGGAACAATTACTACATATCTGTTTAGCAGAGTGCAGTGCTGTGTTGGTGCACGGATGCAGCTCTGGTTAGTTCTAAGTGAGTTAATTTGAGCACTCGGCACAGTATGACCCTGTCATTGTGGCTCTCTGTCTTGACAAATTTGCTCTGGTAGTGGAACTATTCTTTTCCTAGTACCTGAGCTAATCTGCTTATAACTAACTGCAGAAATTCCTTAAAAGTTCCTATAACTAAGCAAAACCAAATCTTTCTGTGATAGAAATACTCTTAAGACTTATTTTAATTAATAAAAATTTAAAAATTCAGTAATGTCATCTCTTTAACTTTCTATGTTTTGTGGAAGGAGGAGCCCATGGACACAGATCAAAGTAGTAATGTGTTAAGTTCTATACAATCAGAAGTTGCAAAATACCAGATGTTAATTGAAGAGGAGAACCAAAAATTAAAAAGATATAAGGTATGTAGCCTTTGCTTTTCTGATGAAACTATTGGAAAAGAAAGACAATGTTATGTAAATTCATGTTGCATATCTGAAATTATAGGTTAATTACCAGTTTGCTTCCTTTTAGCATAAGGTTAACAAGCCAATTTGTAATGGTCTCTGTTGCTCCCTTTGTTTTGCCACTTCTTAGTATTTTTCTCACTTTAAAATACTTTTTTAAGCACAGTGAGTTCTAGAACTCCTACAAAGAAATTCTTCTCTGTGCCCCAGAAGACTGGTGAGCCTTTTCTTGCTGGAGTTGTGAATTACACCACTCTGTGTAACAATGGCCTCTTGCAAAGTAGGATGTTTTTGTTGGTTTTTACTGGGACTTTGGTGCGTTAGTCCTAAATTTTTTCTTCAGAGCATTCATGTAACCTCTCCCAGCTCTTATTGTCAGTAGTGAAGAATGTTGATGCATCAGTTGATAATGAAGTCTAATCAGGAGAGTCTATGAACTTTGTGCATAGAATCATTCTGTCTTTGCATGCAACAATCCTAATCTGACCTACAGGCACTTGCATAGCTTTGAGTGAAGAAGCTCTCCCAGGGTACTTCAATTGTTCTTTTGTTATAGTTTACCTGCTGTCTTTTCCTCTGTGGCAAGCAGTGAAGACACAATTGGCATGTTCTGCGTTTTCCTAATGAAAGCGTATCGTTCTCTGAGATCATGCATGTTATTAATGAAAATGAGATATGGTAAAGTTTCTCAGAGGTCATCACTTGCAACTTTTTTGATAATTCCCTAATACTTTTGAAGGGATGTTTTGAGGGGAAAAAAAGGTGGGTAACCGAATTTTTTTTCCTTTTTTTTTATTACTTAACGTATTTTGGAAGATATAGAAAGTGGCTAGATTAAAAATAATTTTTAAAATACAAGTTGTATATATCAAAGGATGAAGAAATTAAAAAAATGTTTTCACTAGATTTTGTGTTTTTTTCACTAAAAATGAAAAAATATTTTCACTGGTTTCTAGAAGGTACAGACTGAGACTTAAATAATTCTAATGATAATTTCAAATATATTTCTGCAGTACATGTGTTAAGTTGTAAAGTGTTATTGTTATCTGTCTCTAAAGCAGTGTGAGGATGCAATTCCAGAAACTATATTAAAAAAAACAAACAAACAAAAAAACAAACAAACAAAAACAACCCAAGACCCAAAACCAAAGCATATGCTTTACCAAGCATGAAATTAAGCAAACAAATGAAACTGGGGGGCAAAAAAAATTAAAGTTCCTATTGTATGTGGAAAGAGCCTAAAAGTCCACACTTTTTTATGTTTGGGTATCTACTTGGGGTCTATGGGTGTCATTCCTCCCAGTTGAAAAACCAAACATTCTCCTACCTTTCTGAAGGATTGAACCATTGTAGAAGCTGCAGAGTGTTTACTGTAACAAAAATAGTTATGCTTTTGCATTACAGAAATGTTTTAAGTCTTCAGCCTAGGCTGAGGTCACAACTACGCAAGGGACTGTAAATATACATAGGTCAAACTGCAATTTAAGTTTTGGGAAAAAAGAGAATAGATAACAGTACTTGTCAGTGTCATGGCAGTGGCTAAACTATATAATCTCTTTAACCATTGAGGGTTTTTCAGCTCGTATGACAAAAGACTATAACGAGAATTTGTGCCTGGGCCAGTAAATTCATCTGGCCTATACTTTCTCACCATGTGCTCAGAATTTTATTGCTTCAACTTCATTTTTAGCTGGCTGAAAGTTAAAAAAACAGAACTCCAGTTCTTCCCCTTCTGGGGGAAGGGGCAATGATCAGGATGTGAAAAATCCCTGTTTAGCCATATAATAATTCTGTTAATGCTTTCAATTCATTTTTAGATTGAAAATATTAGAAGAAAACATAACTACCTGCCTTTCATCATGGAATTATTAAAGACTCTAGCGGAGCATCAACAGTTAATACCATTAGTAGAAAAAGTGAGTATTTCCTAGCTGACTCTTAAGAAACAGTATATTACTGTAATTCTTCATACCTTCTACTTAAAATTATGCAGTCAAATATCTTGGAAGCAAAAATGGCATGGGTTTATTTATTTAAACCACTACATTCAGATATATTGTTACTTTACCTGATAGCCCATTGCAGTTCTGAACTGACACAATTCCAATGGAGAGTGGAGATTGTGGGACCAACCAACTTTGCACTATTATGCAAAGACAAACGGTATCTCCCATTTGATAACCTAAACAAGTTTTTCTAATGGTGATATAGGAAGAGGCAATTCAATATCAGCTAAATGATCTGGAAAGCTGCCCAGCGGAAAAGGTGGGGGTGTTGGTCAACAGCTGGCTGAATATGAGGCAGCAGTGTGCCCAGTGGGTCAAGAAGGCAAACAGCATCCTGGCTTGTATCAGAAATAGCGTGGCCAGCAGGACTAGGGGAGTGATGGTCCCCCTGTACTCGGCACTGGTGAGGCTGCACTTTGAGTACTGTGTTTAGTTTTGGGCCCCTAGCTACAAGAGTGTCTTATGAGGAGCAGCTGAGAGAACTGGGGTGGTTTAGCCTGGAGAAAAGGAGGCTCAGAGGAGACCTTATGGCTCTCTACAACTATCTGAAAGGAGGTTATAGTGAGGTGGGGGTCAGTCTCTTCTGCCAAATAACAAGGTCTTTCCCAACCTAAGTGATTCTATGATTGCATTACAGGGCATAATATGCTATAATACAAGAATGCATTATTTGGACTTCTCTACAGGGGAAAGTCCTATTAAAATTATGATGTATAGCTCCAGTTGGTATGTGGTAGAGTTTCTCCATACTATCTTGATATCACTTTTTGAACCGAAGATTATTTAAACATGTACATACACAGACGTGTATGTACAAGACTGATCCCTTTTGCCTCTGGTCCCTGGACACTTAATACCCTGTTGTGTTGATTTATCTCGCTGTCGCCACTAGATGGCAACCTTTGCACAGATGTTCTGCTAATTTAGGTTGCTTGAAATGTGTTTTTTTCACTTTCTCTGTTCTTATACTGATTTACTGGCTCATTGTTTTCTGCTTTTAGGTGTCTAGATAGTTAATATTATTTACTATTAAGGTTTGTGTTAAGGCTTGTTTATTAAAGTGTGTCTGTCACTCTGGCAAGTTTATTAAACTGTATGGCTATTCAAGGACTTAAATTGTAATAAGATCCGTACTGGCTTGCATATCTACTCATGTGCTATAGACAGTATCCCTAACTTTGAACTGACACTGAAAAAGGATGTCTATATTCTTATAATGAAAAAAGAGCTGAATATTATTTAGTGAGTAAATTCTTTAGCTGAATTTACTTAGGAAAGTATGTTTGCAAGCCAGTAGTTTAAAAAAGAGTAACTGTTGCATTCAGTTTTTAATCTTTTCCTTCTTTGGGTAACTTGTGGAGTTTTAATCCAGTTTCACATTAACAGGATTTACTTACAACACCATCAAGCTGCTTTTACAAGTAAATTTCCAGTGAACCCAAGCGGCCGGTGATAACAGATCTTAATTCGAAATCACTGAATTAGATCCTGTTCTGTTCAATAATAAGTGGTAAGGAGCAGCAGTCTGACTCAGAAAGAACAAATGTTTTGACAGAAAGATGGCTAGTATTACATCTGAATTGTCCACTCTTCTTCCTTAATCTTTTTTCACTAAATTCATAAGGAAGAAAATGCTAGTTCCTTGTCAATTTGAACTATCTATCAATTGATGTAAGTTTTATGAGAATCTGTTTGCAAGTATCTGGTATGAACTCTTGTGGGATTTTTTCCACTCTGCTCTTTTGAAAGATCTTAAAAGCTAAGACCGTGGTTGCTTCAGAGTTTAATTTGTGATAATCAGTATATCTGAATGCAGTGTTTTCATGTGCCACAAAATGTTTTCATTAGGAAGAGTTATTTCTATGTTAAATGAAATGAATATGGAGGTATGAAAAATGAAGGTTCAACTATGTTTTAAAAATAGTGCTTTTTTTCACCTCTCCTTTTTTCCTATGGAAGTTAACTCATCTTACAGTTTTTGTATTATGTATATGTAAACCTATATGTATTCTTTAAAGGCTTTCTATATGAACCTAGTAAAATAGTAGTGGGGTACTTCTGAAGGGTCTAAATTTACATTTAAAATGTCTTTCTACAGCATATTTTGTTGGTTGTTCAATAATGTAATGAGTAAGTCATTCATAGCTCGAAAAAGAAGACCTTTGTCTTATCAGAGCTTAACATCATGTCCCTCTGTTTTCTAGGCGAAAGAAAAACAGAATGCCAAGAAAGTTCAGGAGGCCAAGTGAAGATGACTTTGCAAAATGCGTACAATTATGTGCTTCTGAAACTATTTTCATGACAACAAATAAAACTTTTCATAAACTTTAAATTTTGTCCAGCGCACGTTTGACAATTGTAACAGTTTGTCTTGTACTGTATGCACGAGTCTAATTTTCTTCCTTCACCTGCATCTTGTGCATGTAGTACTGCTAAGTAATGTTTGGGTTCTCTTGGTCAAATTCAGTATTTAATAGTCTATCTGATTTTTGAAAGCTTGGAAGTGAACCTAAAAATGTGCAAGGAAAATGTACCCATTTTGTCCCACTTGAATATATGATAATGATACAAACGCCAGAGTTTAAGTATAAGCATGAGCTTTCTTTGCTCATCCCTACTAACAGTTATAATGCTATCCGATTGTTCAGTGACATACCCTGTATCTTTGTTTTTATGAAGTATGTGTCTAATTTTTTTACAAAATTGAAAAGTATGGATTTAGCTGTAGAAACATTTGCAAAGACCAATGTATAATCTCAAAAGATCAGCATTGCTTTAGTAGAAAAGATAATAAATATTCCCATTTTTATTTTGGCAAACTTTCTTCTGTGGTATTTTATTATTGGATAAGATCGTTAGGATATGTATTGGAGATCATCAGCCTTATGACTTTGAGTATACATGTACTAAATTTGGGTTAGAAAGAAGACACATTATTGTTTTGGGGAGTTAATATTCTTGGATATAAGGGAGTACTGTTTTAGAGTATGTTAAATTTAGGTCTCTAAAACAATGCTTTTTAATTGACCTTGGGAGGTAATTTAAGAAAAAAACATAAATGGGAGATTCTTACTGGTAACAACATTGTAATGGAAGATGCTTGAACTGTCTTCCCTGGGACATGGACCAAAGGGAATGTCTGGGGAGTTGAGCTCATATGGTGTCCTACCTTCTTAGTGCTGCTTGGATATGAACTGTGGAAATTGTTTTGGTAACAATAGTAACAGGGCATTGTAACAATACAAAATATTTAAATCACTGAAACACTGTTAGTGTATATAAATTTCATTTAGAAAACTTCCAGTTTCTTCCTAAAAGACTCAGACAAGAAATAGTAAGGGGAAAAAAAAAAGCAAAAGAACTAGGATCGTTTGGAAGACATTTAAAACTAGTAAAAGATGTTTGGTTTGCTTATTTTGCCTTTAGACATACTTCATTGAACTGTTAGGTCTTACAGGCTCTCCTGATGAGAATATACTATTTTCAGAGAATTTTTTTGAAACCCCAGTATAAACCAAATTCTGTTATCTGTTGGTGCTTCATATATATTGCATATATATTGACAGGATAAAATTTTGGCTGAAGAAGTAAAACACATTCTGTGCTCTCCTACTGTTGAACGGATCCACTTGAGTCGTTGTGGCTGGAAGGGTAAGAGCTGTTTCAGGAAAGAACATGAGATCCATGTCTGTGTTTCGTACAAAATTGATTAGGTTGATGAGAACATTAACGGTGTGTGAGAGTTCCTTACTTTAGTAATTCATTGCAGCAGTATTTTTCAGGGGAAGGGAAAGACTGTTCCTCTGTGAGAGGCATTTCTAAACTTAAAATTATACTCTAAACTCCATTTCAACCTGTTGAAAAGATTTGTCT